AATATTTAAAAGGCAAAGAGAGGGAAAGTGGTGGATGCCACCTCCCCTGGTCTTTCACCTGACCTGCCTGCATTCTCATGACATTTCCATTTCCACTGTAGCAGCAATCAGGACCGTGTTTCCACTCAGCAGCTGCAGCCCAGCCCCTCTCATCTGGATTTGCTCTAAAAGCTTCTGCTGTGTGGCTTAAATTTCTGGTAATCTCTGGGCTTTTAATATTTGTGTATCAGTGCTCAGGCCTGAGGAGCTTCATGCACACCACATGTCACCGGCCTGCATGGAGGCGATGGAAATAAAACCACAATCAATTATTTCACTATATCTTTTCGTTAGAAGGTTTAAATCTAAAGAGGTTGAGGATGATGATGATGAGGAGGAGGAGGAGGAGGAGGAGGAGGAGGCGCGCGCGCTGTCAAACAGGCATGCACGCCTCTTCGGTATCACCGCAAAGCTAAACATTAGAATAACTTTTTAAGGTCGGAGTCCCACAGGTCCACATGACCCACGCAGGGTGGAAATCTCCTGCCTGCTCCGTGTGCTGTGGGCTGAGGGGGGATCACAGCTGCTGCTGGCGGAGGATATGGTTTGTTATTGTTTACCATCGCTGCCTGAATGCTGCGCGCATCTGACAGACAGACAGACGGACAGACAGCTCCTTCCAAACCAATGAAGCTGTGCAGTGTGCTGCTCACCCTGGCTGCCCGGGTAATGCTCAGGTCCTTCATCACCTCCTCAAACGCCGCTGTCTCCTCTGCCTGCTTCTGGTTGTGTAAAGCGATTTTCTCGCTGAATTTCCGCGGATTGTTCGAAGTCGCCATGTTTCGCTCTTCTGCTCCGTTTTTCCCACGTTGGTCAAGTTACACCCAGAGAACACGACCAGCTTCCGGTCAGGGAGTTTAAAACATAAAATAATAATAATAATTCAGCTCATTCTCTTTTTTTATATTATACGACAAAGTATTAGGACCATGATAGATTTTTTTTTTCTATTACGACAATAAAGTCATAACATTACGAGAATAAAGTCGTACTATTACGAAAAAAAGTCGTAACACTACGAGAATAAAGGCGTAAATTACAAGAATAAAGTTGAACATTAAGAGAATAAAGTCGTAATATTACGAGAATAAAGTCATAACATTACGAGAATAAAGTTGTAACATTACGAGAATAAAGTCGTAATATTACGAGAATAAAGTCATAACATTACGAGAATAAAGTT